TTGCACATGTGTGAAAAAGGCAGAGAAAAGTTCAGCTAGCATGAGGGTCAAAACAATAGACAGGTTTGGTTTGCATATGTAGGTCAAAAAGGCAATCACATGTCTGGTTTGCATGGGGTCAAAAAGGTAAGCACATGTCTGGTTTGCATGGGGTCAAAAAGGTAAGCACATGTCCTGTTTCCCTGAGGCTCAAAAAGGCAAACATATGTCCATTATGAACTGGGTGTCAAATATAGGTCTGGTTAGCATATGTGTCAAAAAAGCAATCATGTGTCTGGTTTGCATGAGGGTCAAAAGGCAGATATATATCCAGTATGCACCAGGGTCAAATATAGGTCTGGTCTGCGCAAGTGTCAAAAAGGTATACATAGGTCTAGCAAACAGATGTGCCCGTTTTTGCATGTGTGTATCTCTCTGCAGGAGGATGCTATTGATGTATTCTTAACCCCACTCAAGAGGACTGACTTTAAATTTGAAATGTTATTGGAAGTTGATTAATTGCAGAATAATTCCTTTTATTCATTTTATATAAGGATTATAAAAGAAAAGTCTGGATATGCACATCAGTTTCAAATTTCAGTCAAGAACATTGCATTTACTTTTGCGCAAATTGGAAAGAAATGAATCCATCTCTTCTCCTTCCACCTATGTGTTAAAGAACAGTACAGACTGGACTCTCTAGCTATGGTTGGCAACCAGTTCAGGAGAAGGAAACTATGGCAGAGAAGTTCTATTCCCCACTGGGAACTTTGTGGAGTTAACAATGTTAATAACAATAATGTAAATTTTACAAGTTATTTCCTGTTAAGTTTAAGGGACACCTTCAGTAGCTTTTTATCATTTATGTTTAATTTGATATTCAAAGGACCCTTAAGTACCCCACCACTCCTAACAAACACATACACACACATGTATGCATATGTATACATTTCTCAATAAGCACTCCTAAAGGTCAAATATTTTTTTTAATTATTTACTTTTAAAGGAACTGGCATTTTCCTTCTTTAAATGCCTATCTTACAATTTGAATGCTTTTGTAATATTTTATCAATATTTATTGCAATCAACCTACCTCATAATCAATACAACTTAGAATTTGTAAGCAGTGACAAAGAAGTGGTTCACATGGTGTAATGGTTGGCAACTGCAACTGGCAAGCCATAGATTGTGAGTTCAATCCTTACTGAGTACCCACATTCAACTTAACCTTGTATCAAATTTACCATTTAGGTGTGTGTGGGGGCTAAATAAATAACATAATAAAATAAATGCTATTTTGTTATATATAAAACAATACGAAAGTGCCAATATTCTTACAATCTAAAATAACCATATGCCAAGGAAATTTGTAGAACATAATCTGTTTTCAGCAACTCTGAGTCAATATTTCCTTTAAATTTTAAGTATAGTTGGAGTTTGGCTTGTTGAAGAGTAGTTTCCCTTGTTTATCCATTTTTGTATAATTATAACATAGAATGTTGGTTCACTTTGTCATGCTAGATAATTTTTCTTGTCAGAATCTATCTTACACATTTATAAGTCTACTATTTGTCCTTGCATTGAATATTGATGTCACATCTGGTCTGTTGCTTCAAGTATGTATTTAGAAATTCTTGATTAAGTACAGAGAAGAATCTGCAATGTTATTAGTCCTGACTTGACACCCCAGGTTTAGTCACTTTCCCACAAACATAACGTAGCTTTCCTGTGCCTTTTCTATAAATATTTTCATGGTAATAGTTCTAATGAGCTTCCCTCTTTGGTACCTAAACTTTATGAATTTAGGGGTGCAAACAAATGTGAACTCCATTGGACAATTTGCCGAATGAGCCACATAACAAAACTTATCTGAATTAGAATGAATAGAATATACAGCAGAATCAGACCTGAAATAAGACAAAAACAGTACAAGTTCATTAAAGACACTGGAACAAAGAATGCAATATTTATGCTCAGAATGATATCAGAAACAGCAATACAAATGAAGTAAGATTTGTACCTGTATTTATGTAAAAGTGTTTGATAAAGTAGATCACAAAGAACTGTTAGAACTTCTAGGTAACCTTGACATATTTAGGAAGGATACTAGAACCTATACTGGCAGTAAACCATCAGCATATAGATAAAAAATGAGTTCCATAAATATACAAAGATAGAAAGAGGTGTAAAACAAGAATGTCTCGTCTCACCAGACTTATTTAACCTATACAGTGAGGTGATTCTGACATAATTAGAATACCTACCAGGATGCATTATTGGTAGCTATAATCTTACCAATATTAGATATATAGATGAAAGTGTGACATTGAAATCCAAAGGTGCATTGGCACAGAGAAAGATGCCTTCCAAAAGCTAATCAATATATTAAGAAATAGAACAATTCTGTTAGAAACAAAGAAAAGATTACCGAACAGTTATTTAATATTAGTCCTCCTATATGACAATATATGCTGGACAATCTTTTCCCAGACTTAAAATAACAGAAATGCAGTTCTGCAGAAGGATGCTGAGAATAACCATTGACTGAACATGTTAACAATAATTAAATTTTAGATGAAATGGAAACAAAAAGGAAACATGTACTGAATATCAAAAAGAGAAAGAAGAAAGGGCACACAATGGGGAAAGAAGGCTTGGAAAATTTGATACCTACAGGACAAATTGAAGGCAAGAAGGACAAAGGAAAACAATGGTTAACCTACTTAGTGAGTTTGAGTAAATTGATGGCAGAGCAAGGTTTAGGAGAGGTAAAAAAGAAGATACCATTTATTAAGAGATTGAAAGGACAGGAAACTGTAGAAAGCCATGAAGATGATGATTAGATTAACAGCAAGATCACATCATTTTACAATCAAAATGGCTAGATGGGACCATAAGTTCTATGCTAACAGTTCTTGCACTTTTCGCTTGGGGAACTCTCTTGCAGTGAACTTTAATCTTCAAAAATTTAAATGCAATGTCAATTGTTATCTTCTGTCTTTTAATTCCTCTTCTTTTATTGTTCTTACTCATTAATAATGTTTTCTTTTTCTTATATTCTTTCCCACTAACTTCTTATATCTTAATGGCTTTATTGCTTGGCGTGAAATGATTAAAAAAAACAATTGAGGATGTTACTTGATGTCAAAATTAACAACCACTTTCAACAGCTTTTAATCAACGCACACATGCAGGAAGACACACACACACACACACACACACACACAATAAATCCTCCAAAAGTACGATTACAGGTTTTGATTACAATCTGTATATTTTCAGCAATCTCTGACTTGATATTTCCAAAGATTTGCTTGGTACAGAAAAAGGTCATATTACAGAGCAAAGAAGATTTTGTCAGGCTAATCTCTCGAATGGAGCTGGGCTTACTTGCTGGCCTTGAAAATCAGCCTTCAAAACCCTGATGCTCAGATGCTCAGATGCTCAGTATCTGTATGAAAATTTAAGGCTATCAACAAGTCATTACTTAGTTATATAAAAGTCTGACAGACATTTAACTTGATAACAATAGGCTGAAGCTAATTGAGACCAGTGGAATTATTTGATTAAATCAATCATTAACAATGTATAGTTATTGGTAGGGTTTGCTAGATTTTATAATTATTCTTGATGTGCTTTAAAACTCTCATTCTAGTCACAAGTTCCAGTGAGTGACATGTTGATTCTATGCAGTGAACACAGATATTACACTCTGGTTCTGAGCAGAAATTCCAGGAAGTGACACATTAATCCTATGCAGTGATCAAATATACTACACTAACCTAAGTATCAGGGATTGATATTTTGATCCTATACAGTGAGTGCAAATATTACTCTCTGATTTTTGTCAGTAGTTCTAGAGAAGAACCCTTTAATCTGATGTATATAGAATTAAGAAACATCTACACAATGCAACAAAAGTGATTTCTGCAACAATACAGATAAATATTTCCTAAATTATTTTATGTGAAGAAACAGGCATATTTTTAATGTAAATTAGTATTTAAATTGTTTTAGTTTGGAATGAATTTATGTGCTACTATTTTGAATAACATGGCGTTATGGATTTAACTGTTTTTTTTTTTTCAACTTTTTAACATTTTTGTAGTCATGTACCTTGGCTTGGGAAAGCAGTAATTCTTTCAGGAATGGATATATTTGAAAAAAAAACAAAAAAGAAACAGAACAAATTTATATTTTGATAAGATTTCGTAGTGGCACTATTGAGAATTTTCTTTTTAAGTAAGTTAAAAAAAATTCAAAAACATCGCTTACTTACTTTTGTTTATTAGGCATTGAATAATTACTTCATGTCCTCCATAGCTTGCCTGACTTTTCAGCTAACCTGATGAATATTTATGAGTGTTCCTAAACTTATAAATTTTGAAAAACTAATAACATTTTTACAAAATAAAATCCTTACATTTGCTTTGATAAAGTCCCTCAGAGGATTAAATGTGTCAGTTGAGTACCAGATTTGTCAGACTACACAAGTAATTAATACTTTAAAAGACACTTCTAAAATTTTTCTAACATTATTCAAAATATGAATCTGTATAGTTTAGCATCAACCTAATATATTTCCAATAAAAGAAAATTCTATTTCAAATGAAATGTCAGTGATGAGAAATAAGTTATCAGAAAAAAAATTGAATTAAAATAAATATACATACTTAACAAAGATGTTGATGGAAATAAAATGGTTGATTTTATTATGAGTCAAGCAGAGCAGTAAATAATTTTCATATAAATAATTTAATATTTGTTATGTCTGATACAGAATGTTGTGCTTTTGACTGTGTTGGGTTGGGCTTGGTCGATTGATTTTATGGCATGTCAACCCCTGTTGGGTTATTTAATGTCGAAAACAGTCTTTTCTGAATTATACTGAAATCAATAAATATTTACTTGATTTGGGAATAAATAAATATTAGTTGTTTATACTTGAGTTGATAAGCATTGATTTGGCAAATATTGTTCATTTATATTTGAGTCTGTTAGTATTTATTTGGTAGGGGTGTACAACCATATCATGTTGAAGCACCAGTTCTCATACAATCACCAAAGTTAAGCAGTGTTGCGTTTGATCAGTATCTTGATGGGTGACCACTTGGGAGTACCAGGTACTGTGAGCTTGGATGTGTGATTGGTATAATGGATAACAGCTCAGAATTGGAAATCAGAGTGCCAAGTTCTAATTCCAGTTATATTCACTTACACGCAGATACCCTTGGGAAAAGTATGAATCCATCTCATCTTTCACCCAGCTATGGGTTAATTAGTAGGATTTGTATCAGTAAATCATTAATATCTGCAAAAATTCTTTCAATCTAAAAATATTTTCTGGCTTTAAATAACCTACAAAAGAAATCATAAAAATCAAATCCATCAATCTTGGCATGCAGCCCATTTTGGGAAAGTTTTTACTCCTCTGAAGGGTATATAGTTAATATACCAACAGCCCTACCAACAGGGTAGACATTGGATAAAGTGGTTGAAACATGTATAAATGATAGATATTTTGTATTGGCTTAAGATTTAATTTGATATCTGGTGTTTCACTCTCAGATCTTCAGTATAAACAATTAATGGAAATAGGATTTGGGCTTATATTCATAAAACTCCTGGCACCATAAAGTGCTGAGGAACATAGGTGTAATTATTCATGGTGTATATATATATATATATATATATATATATATATATATATATATATATATATGTGTGTGTGTGTGTGTGTGTGTGTGTGTGTGTGTATGTATGGGATCTAAACACGTAAATAAAACGTTAAAGAAAAAAGAACAATGGCCTCTTGACAACTTTGGAAACTCCTGCAACTCTTCTGGATGGTCTCCTTGTTTACCATAATCCTTGCCTTCAGTTCATTTTTGGTGTTATAAGGAGTTTTGCTCAACTGTGTCTCACTCATAATAATCAAGAAGTCTGGGGAGTTAAGTGGCCAGATATAAAGGGTGATGGGGTCACAGAAATTGTCTGCCATTACACTCATTCAACTCTTTCTGAATCCTCTGCACTATCCTCAGAGTGATACTCAAACACTCTGAAATGTTCGTATTGGAGCTGTCGGTATGAATGCCAAGCAGTGCAGCATGTTGTTTCCAAATTTCTGGCAGAGTGAATTGCATCATGGTGCTCATTTTCTCACAGATGGTGCCCAACTGACTCTACTGTACTCTGCAGTTGGCAAAATCAAAAACAATGCACATGCACAAAATTAAAAAAATATAAAATGGTGACATTTTACTGACTGTACTGTGTATGTATGTATGTATGTATGTATGTATATATATATATATATATATATATATATATATATATATATATATATATATATATATATGTTTCATTGAATAATATAGGCTAATTATATTAGCTTCTACCTAAATAGAACTAGAAAGGATTATTATTAAAATAAATAGATATAGTATGTCTATATTATTCAGTGAAACATGCTTAAATGAAGATATGCTCCCTAAATATACATGTATGTATGTATGTATGTATGTATGTATGTATGTAGAGTCTACAATAACTATGATCTTGACTGTAGTTAATTTGATATATTCTTATACACAAATCTACATTGGTTGTTAATATTTGTTTCTGTAAGTATTTACTTAGTTCAGAGATAGGTAAATACTGGCATTTATATTTGTGTCTATGAGTATTAAATTGGTTCAGAGATAGATAAATATTGGTTATTTATATTTGAGCCTAAAAACAATTGATTTTGGGATATACATTGCCTTTATTCAAGAATAGGTAAATATTAGTTGTTTATATTTGTAACAACAAGGTTTTGGAGAAAATAGAAACAAAAAAGAAACTTATACTTAACAGCAAGAGGAGGCAGTTGAAATTTCTGGGGCACGTAATGAGGAAGGAGGGCTTGGAAAACTTGATACTCACAGGGCAGATTGAGGGAAAGAAGGACAAAGGAAAACAGCATGATGATGAGCTTGAGCAAATGGATGGTAGAACAGGTTTGGGGAGAAATAATGAAAAGACAAAACTTATTAAGAGCTACAAAGGACGAGAAGATGTGGAAGACCATTTTGAAGGTACACAGCACATAAAAGAAGTTATTACTTGGTAAGCAGCTCTTTTTAGCATGGCTCTTACTCCTCAGTATGGTATGCATTTGGTATATTTGAGACCCTGCTGACAGGGTAAGCTTTTGACTGGATATAATTTAAATATACACAAGTCATATTTTTCTTTTTCTATTAGTTATTGCTTTTTCTTTTCCTCCTTCTTAGTCTTCTATTATGAATTCTGTTACAATTGTAAGTCGACACTTTCTTCAGAACATTTTTCTCTCCTCAGAAATTTTTTTTTTATAGGCACATAGGTTAAACATTGCCATTGTTTTTATCTTGCTAATTTCAATGTCATTTTTGATTGCCCCCTGATATTTTTAACATTGCAAATTTCAACATTGTTACTCCATTACTCAATAATTTTACACTATTGTTTCTATTTTGAAGTTTTACCATTCTTATGGCATAGAGTATGTAATATATATATATATATATATATATATATATATATATATATATATATATATATATATATAACCACAGATGTCCAATACTGATCTTCTTGCAAAATGCAATATTGGTGGAATTGAGTCTTTCCTGATGCAGTCACAATTTTGTTGGCCTGGTCATATTGCAAGGGTAAGGGACAATGGAATATCTAAGGTCCTCATGTGTAGCCAGCTTGACAGCAGACAAAAGACAGTTGGACAGTTATGGCTCAGGTATAAAAACAACCTAAAGAGTAACCTATCAGCTGTCAATGTGCCTCATACTAGCGTATAGATTAATATTACGAGGATATTGGAGAAACAAGTAGAAATTTTAAAAAATGCATTTAGGAGCACAAAAGAGTCCTTACAAAAAACAACTTAACTAATCCACTAGAAATAAATTCAACCACAATTTTGATTTTAAAAATGCTACACTCATAAAAAGAAAAGAAAATAACTCACTCAGAAGGAAAATCCTTGAGAGTACCACCATTGAATATTATCCAGACATTAAGGCTTTTTCCCTATTTCACCTTTCCTAACAGAATTACTACTCTCCCAAGCAAACATGCACAACTGTATCAAGAAATCAAAAGAAAATGGTTGTGTTGATGGACAACACAACAATAAAAACAATACAGTACTTGACAAGATGAATATAATAGCGTCTTCTAAATTCTTCCATTTGCTAAGGACATTTTGTTTTGTTATTATTAGTTACTTTGTTTTAATAAACTCATTTTGTTTTTGCCTTGAAAAAGTCCACATTGAATGTTTCATTGAATGCGTCAGCTAATATTACAGTTTTTCTATTGTCTTTTACATTAATAAATATTGTCTTTTTCTACAGGTTAACTCTGAAAATTTTTATATATATATATATATATATATATATATATATATATAGGATTAATACAAACTAAATTTGTCATTTAGTTGATTGATATGTTCAGCACCTCTATTCTGGAGATTTGTAGTTGAACCTTTCTGTAATCATTTTGTCCACTCGTCAGGCGGTATCAAACTACTTTTGATACTGCCTAATATTACAGCAGATCATGTGTTATGCAGAATTACTAATTTCTCTCTATCAATTATTCTCTGGATGGATGTTAAGAAAGTTTGTGTTGTTATTGCCTTCAAAAATAAAAAAAAATAAAAAATTGTAGCCAATTAAAAGCCCTGATAGGAAATAGGCTTTTTATTTTTTATTTTTATTTTTTTATAGCAACAGCAAATATTCAGTGAAGATGTTGTGATAAATTCATTAACTGACTCTTGATATTCATCAGATAACCTGTTTGGTCAATGAATGGCAAATGTTTCCTGCATGGAAATAGCTATTTTCACCATTGCCATTTAAAAGTCTGATCCAAAACAGAAATGCCAATGAATGATACTTTGATCCAATGCAATATGTACAGATATTACACTATTATTCTGGGTAGAAAAAGAAGGTAGAGATAATTGCTCAGAGCCAGATAGCACAGATACTACTCTTTCATCAGTATTTACTGACCTCCCCACAAACGTAGGATGTGACACAAGGACGTTTTTGATGTTGGGTGCCAATATATGTATGAATTCCCAGTCAATGTAGTCACTGTCATTGGTATACACCAGCAGGCCCTCTTTAGTGCAATGAGGGAGGTGCTGCCAAAGGGTTGGAATCACTGTGACTACACATCCCTGAAAGCTTTTTCTGGCAACTGTCGGAGAACATAAAAAATGGCAGATAGGAGAACCAATATTACATTTTGCATTCTTGTTGGCCCTGTATAAATTGGGCTGCATCCTAATAACATGAATTTCACAGTAACAATCTAAATAACAATCATATATGAATATGTTATTTATGGATTTATTTGCTTATTATATTTTGTGAATAGATTGCACAAATGTAGGAGAAATTGATTTAATATTTAATACATTTACTAGTATTAATGAGATTTGTACACGTGAGAAATAAATATTTAACAAAAATAAGAAATCTTGATAAATCTTGTGAGACATTTATAGTAAAGCAGAGAAATAACATACAATATACACACAGGAACCTTGATCTTTATGTTGCACAGGCACCTAGATCCCTCCATCAGTTTACATCAGTATGCCAATAATTGAGCATTGATATCAGCAGTGTGGGACACAGTGGTCCAGGTATTTCTGTAGTAGCACAAAAGGTGATATGCCAATTTTATAAGAAATGAATTTCCTGATAATTGGGGATCGCCATTGAGTAAATATGGTTTCCATCTTTGTTTTCATTATTCCTCGTTTGACTAGATTATTATTTTGTGCAAAATGTATCCAAAAAATACCAAAATCTCTTAATGGATATTAAAAGAATAATATTTGTTGCACACTTGCTGGCCACCTAAAATCCTCAGGCAGGCTACATGTTGTAAGCAGTGACACTTTGATTTAATGCAGAGAACAAAGATACTACACTCTGATCAGTGAAAAAGGATAGGATCTGAACAGTGAAAAAGGATAGGAAGTTGTGGAGAGATCTACCACTACCTGAAGAAGATACTATTTAGTTACATGTGTAAAAGAATTAGATATTTCTTGGTTAAT